TCCACCTGGTGCCTTGGCTTACCTTTGGTTAGTAGGGAATGAGAGAATGGTAGTAATATAGTAGTTATGATTATACCCCATACCTCCATTCCCTACTAACCAAAGGTAAGTTGGTCCACGATGCAGTAAGTACCTATACTTTTTTGGGGGGTTCCTAATTATAAGTATGGTATAATATATCACCTGATTATGAAGATGCAGTTCAATCAGAGCTCGGGTTCGGGGTCTTCGGGTTTGGGGGGCTTGGGGTCTTCGGGATCAGAGGTTAGGGTTTAGGGGGTTGTCTTCGGTTTAGGTTTTAGGGTCAAGTCTTCGGGTTTAGGGTTTTGCATTTTTTGGTATCAGGGATTTAGGGGTCATGTTGTGCTTGGCAACATGCTGTACTACACTCTCACACGCATAGGCCCCCAGCACTAGATTGGCCCTAGTTGACTCTGAAAAATTGAGTCATCGCATTCCAAACCCAAACCCTGAACCTAAGTTGAATCCCTGAATCCCGAGACCAACAGCCCAAACTTAGTAGCTGAGTGGATACACCTTACACCTTTTGTGATAATATTACCCACTATAAAACTGAAAGTGTACACATCTTGGGGCTTGTGAACTCAGCAACTAAGCAAACCCTGGACTCTTTGTGACAGAAGATTCATGGCTCCTCTATTGACTCCGCAACGCAAGTCAAACTGAAAGTAGAAGTAACAGCCCGGTATAGTCGCCTCGTACTTATCGTATCATCTTCCCACCAAAACCCTATGCTAAGTCTGCTAAACTAAACCACAAAACCCTAGGCCCGTAAACCCTAAACCCTTAAACCTAGACCTGTAAACCCTAAACCCTAAACCCCCATCTGCCCCCCCCCCCCCCACATTATCCCCAAGCACAAGCTTCGTGGTCGGGGCCGCTCCGTCCATCAGCTGCGAGGTCTTCCCGATGAGAAACTTGCAGCCATGGGTGAGGCCTCCGAAGTCAGGGGAGGACTAAACTTGTTCATCTTTTCAATACGTTTGTCAAACTCTTTTCAAGGTTTTGTATGCTTCTCATAGCTTGCTATTTTGTTTTTGGCTGTGTAAGGCCGCTGTAGCTTGTTTAAGGGCATGTACCTTATGTTCGCACTGATTTGAAGGAGAGCAGAGGAGGCCTCCTGTACCTTACGTTCGCTCATAAGTGAAGGAGAGCAGAGGAGGGCCAGGTACTTTATGTTCTCCCGTAATTGAACGAGAGCAGAGGAGGGCCATATACCTTATGTTCGCCCTTAGTTGAAGGATAGGAGAGGAGGGCCATGAACCTTATGTTCGCCCTCAGTCGAAGGAGAGCAGAGAAGGGCCAGGTACCTTATGCTCGCCCTTAATTGAACCAGAGCAGAGGAGGGCCATGTACCTTATGTTCGCCCTCAATGGAAGGAGAGCAGAGGAGGCCTCCTGTACCTTGTGTTCGCCCATAATTGAAGGAGAGCAGAGGAGGGTCAGGTACTTTATGTTCTCCCGTAATTGAACCAGAGCAGAGGAGGGCCATGTACCTTACATTCGCCCTTAAATGAAGGATAGTAGAGGAGGGCCATGAACCTTATGTTCGCCCTCAGTTGAAGGAGAGCAGAGGAGGGCCAGGTACCTTATGTTCTCCCTTAGTTGAACGAGAGCAGAGGAGGGTCATGTACCTTATGTTCGCCCTTCATTGAATAAGAGCAAATGAGGCTACTGTACCTTATGTTCGCCTTTAATTGGAGGAGAGCAGAGGAGGGTCATGTGCCTTATGTTCGCTGAGGAGGGCCGTGTACCTTATGTTCGGCGTTAATTGAAGGACGACACAGGAGGCTCTTGTACCTAATGTTCGGAGGGTGATGCTCAGCCGTGTGGGGAGGCCCATGTAGCTTATGTTCGCCCTTAACTGAAGGACTATAGAGACTACAAAGGAGGATCATGTACCTTTTTTAGCCTGTAATTGAAATTCTACGGAGGAAGCACCTTGAACCTTGAAGGAGAACAGTGGAGGGCCTTTATGTTCACCTGCAATGGAAGGATTAGAGAGGTTGGCCATATAGACCTTATATTCGGAACACGAGAGCCATGTAACTTGAAGGATGACCGAGAACGGCCATGTGCCTTATGTTCGCCATTCATTGAAGGAGGACTACGGAGGAGGGCCATGGACTCGTTCCCAACCAAACCTGACCTTTAAGGTCAACGCCGCTTTCTAAGCTTCGAGCTCGATGCAGTCGCTCAAGATTATGTTCCGTTTGCGCTTCGCAGTCCTGCGCCTGTGTTTACGCATGTGTTCTGTAGCGTAATGTTTTTTAAATCTCAAGCAGACATTTTCACCAAATTGGTCACGCCGTCTCAGTTTCATCACGCGTCCACTTCAAGTGTTAGCCTAGGGCCTAGGCGCTAGGCTGAATGACTCCCCGCTGGCTCATTGAACTTGAACTTTAAGTTAGCAGCCAAGCATGTTGTCCCCCGCCCCCATACCTGTCCATGAACTTGCGCCTTTCATTCCTTGAATTTTCTTGGACGCGAACCCCAAACCCCGAGGTCGACCCTGGCCTACGCTTGTGACGCTTGCGTGAGTGCGCCTTCCACTGTGAGCTTTGGCTTGAGGCTAGTGACTTCTCATCTTCACACATCAAACACAGCAAACAGAATCTACCGAGCCATGCCCCGTGCTGCGGCCGGCAAGTATCGGGTTCTGGTAAGCCCGGCCTTTGGTGCAGGGCTGTGCGCGCGCTCGCCCAACGAGTCGTTGCAACAAAGGGGCAGTTGCTTGGCCGAAGAGGACATCGACCTTTCAGGTCTATCCTCGAATGCATTGACCCTGCTGATGCAAGGGGAATATGCCGAGATGCACGTGCCAAGGCGCATCAAGAAGCATGTGAGGGCATACCTGCAGCTCAGCCACCATGCCCAGGAGCGCGTCCTTGTCCAGAACCGGTCTACATCTATGCAGCTGATCGAATGGCAGGCGCTCCCATAACAGAGGAAAACCCAGAAGAAGACGCGGCGTCGTCTGAGGAGGAGTTGTAGAGTTCTACTCGGAAAGCTTCAATCCCGAAGGTGAGTTTCCGATGTGTGTTTTGCTTTCGAGATCTTTACAACAAGGATCCTACTATGTCGCGGCCCGTGCAGTAAGGATCCTACTAATTGCACAATTTAGAAGGTCAGCGTCATGTTCCTCGGCTTTCGGAACTCTACAAACCCAAACTAAGCTCTAAACTCTAACGCCTTTCTTGTTTCGAGTTCTGCAAAGGGTCGTTCTGTTTCGAGGGTTTGATCTTGAGATGATAGGAGGGTTTGATAGATTATAACCCTACAAAAATTAAGGGGTTGATCTCTTGACACTGCAAAGCCCTGTATATAATAGCCCTACAGGAGAACATGCTGTTCACTTGTAGTCTTGACCGTGCAAAACGAGGCTTATGGGGGCTGTGCATTTTGCTCCGGAGCTGTTTTAGGATGCGGTCGACCTTGCAAGCGGTGCCGGGAGTGTCTGTCCTGGGGCCTTCAGCACATTTGCAATAACTGTTGTCGAGTCGTCCCCATATGCCTAACGCACAGTGGGTCCCCAGACCCCATTCCCCAGATTTTCGGACCCAAGCTTTCTTCATATTACAGGAGACCTCAAGGCCTACAGCCTACATCCAAGTGGGAATGCGCTTTGAACATCTTGTCGTTTGAATCCTCATTCAAGCTCTCGCCGAGGCAGCTCACTTCCCTCAACCATCCCATACCCTACCCTAAACCATCCCAAACCCAAAACCCAAAGCCTTGAAGCCCAAAGCCCTAAGACCAGACCAAACTCCCCAAACCCCGAAAGCTTAAAAACGCGCAGCGTACCCTCATGGAGCCCTAAGCCCCAAACCCCTATGTAATAAAGTGCCGATTGAGAAGCCTATCCTTCAAGGGCTACGTAGAAATAGTCTGTAGTTTTTGGTTCTTATAATCCTTAAGAGACAGCTAAAACCCTAAACCCTAAACCGTTATGGATCCTTATTCTGAATGCCGATCTGCTTTGCCTCCCGGCCACACTTTTCCGGGAGCAGGAGCCGACCTATGGCTTATCTCGATCACATTGTCAACTATGTCCGGGGCCCCGGCTTCAAAAATACAGAACGGAGAAGGGTTGATTTCTTGAGACTTACGGCATAGGATTCAGAGCTATTCGGTTGTTTCATCAGAGTGGCTTGGGGTGGAAGATGCAGGTTTAGAGGTGTAGGGTTCAGGGATTCTGGGTTTCAGTGCTTTGGGGCTCCGGGGCGCATTTTGTGCTGCAGTTTCGGATCTAAGTTCACACTCGTAGAGCATGAGATTTAGGGGTTTAGGGTTCAGGGTGAAACTTTACCGGGCCCCTGCTAAGGAACTTGATGACGGGTTTTCAGGGTACTTCTAGGGTTTGCAAAAGCCTTTACAGCTGTTTCGTATTTAGGGGGCCTGTAGAGCTTAGTTACACTAAACTCCATATTGGACCCTGACAAGGAACCCTCAAAAACGAACCCCATACGTTGTATCAATAGACCCTATTCTAGATCCCTTACGCAGAGCCCTTTCAGAAACCCTTAAAGAAACCCGATTCTACTTATGAAGGCCCCGACATTATCCGCAGCCAGGCCCCGGCCAAAGGAGCCTTCAGTTAGGAGTTCCTGAGCATTGCCCACACTTGGGGCATCATAGGGTATGGCTAAAAGTACCTTAGTTTAGGGCTTGGGGTTGAGGCTTTAGGGTTTAGGGTTATTAGAAACCTTAGTTCAGGGTTAAGGGTTTAGGGTGATAAGTACCTTAGTTTAGGGTGTAGCACTTGAAGCTTCAGGGCAATGTGGAAGCCTGATCAAGAAACCTTGGGTCTTCATCAGGGTTCTGTGCAACCCTAACAATTTGGGGCCGGAGGACCAGGGATTCTTGGGTGTTTAGGGAGTCGTGCGTTGTAGTTGCCTGAATGGGAAGTTGCGTTGGTCGGGGCTGAAGCCAGCTATAGGTGTAACTACTTGCTAAGTCCGCTGATTCTTTGCGCAAGCCATGGCACCGCGCATTCTCATCACGTTCTCCGGAACCCGTGGTGATGCCCAGCCCTATTTGGTGGCTGCACAAGCTCTGCAGGCAGCTGGTTTCGATGTGATGACCGGTGGTAACGAGGACGCGGCAAGCTTGGCAGAGAGTTTTAACGTCCCTTTCCGTGCTACCCGGATGAGTGCTCGCGAGATAATGACGAATACACTGTTGGTTGAGGCTATGACTGAGCAGAGCATCCCAAAGATCGTGAAAGTACAAGAGCAGGTGATGTCCGAGGGGAGGCGACGAGAAGAGTTGGGGAAGTGGTATTATCTATTGCAAGACTTCAAGCCACAACTGGTCCTCTGCGGTGGTGTAAGCCTCGTGCCTGTGCCACCGATGGCACGAGAGATGGGCATCCCTGCCCTGTCTTTCTCCCTGCAACGAATGAGACCCAGCCGCTACTTTACGCCTTTCGGGTTCCCGAGAACACAGCTGGGGCTCGTGAACCTTGCCTCCTGGCACTTCTTGCATTGGGTCCTCCTAAGAGGTTCTCGGAAGAAAGACGGGCCGGCTTTTGAGGAGCTCTTCAAGAAGCCCGCCAAAGAGGTCCTGATGTCTATCCAAGAGGTGAACGATCTCTATGCTTGCAAGGCTGCATACCCGAGCCTCATAGCTGAGAGTCATGTTCTCCATGGCGACTTTCCAGAGGACTTCAACGAGAACTGCGTCCGGATCGGGGCGACTAGGTCCGCCAGTAGTACCGTTAACCTTTCATGCTTTCGGTGGGATTCCCTATTCAAACTGAAGAACTGCGAAGAAAGAGCTGACTGTCATTATCAAGAGCGTGGTCGCACAAACATTTTTAGTCAATTTTGGCAAAAATTAGTCAACAATGAAGTAAAACGAAAAAAATATTTGGGGGAACCAAGGCCCCTCAGGATGTGAGCCGTACACTATAAACCTTCATCCTCATGCCCCACCTAGAGTCATTGTCGTTCCGTTGTACCCCAAAAAAGGAACTACAATGAGACTATAGGCAAACCCTAAGAAAAAACCCTAACCTCGTAGGGACTCTTAGGGGGGTAGGAGGTTTTAATGCCCATAACATGGATTTAAATGGCCTATGTGAGGAAGTTTAGTCCCCTACCCCCCTAAGGGTCGCCATGATAACCCCCTGTACCCTAAACCCTGAGCTAAACCCTAAACCGAAGGCGATGATGCCCGCGGCTTCCAAGCAAGTGGGGCCGGAGTTCGGATCAACAGAGCCTGAGGGGTACTTAGAATTAATTTTCAATCTTTGGTTCCTATAAACCCTAAGATACAGGTAGCATTAAAACATTGCTAGGGGCCTAAGTTCAGTATAGGAGCTGGATGCCATGGAGGCCTTCCTTTCTCAGGGCGAGGCGCCGGTGTTCCTCGGTCTCTTAGTAATTTTAGGGTTCAGGGGTTTAGGGATACCCTGATGCCCCCTTATGCCCCCTTGTTTCGGGTGCCCTGCCAAATTATGAAGGGGATGCAGGGGAAGCTGGCTCTTAAAGCCTTGGTATACAAACCGCAGAAAGCCAATAGGAAGCTCTTTAACGCCATCGTAAAGCCCCATAAGGCGATACGGAGGGAACCTTGTATCAACGCCCTTAATGGCTTATGAAGCCCGCAGAACAGTCTAAACTCCAACAGACCTCCCTACATACCATCCAGCTCTATAAAGAACCTATAGAACCCTATACGAGCTTTTGCTGAAACCTTGTAAACCTCCGTAGGACTCTATTCCCTAAACCCTAAACCCAATATTCAATGCTCGTTAAGGCCACTCCCGGAGGATGAACCGAAACCGAGGTTCTTTGGCTACGGCTCCATGATCTGCAAGAACCTGGGTTCTTGTTAAGGACCTTAATTTAAGTTACCATAATAAGGAAACCCTATTATTTACGATAGATCCCTATTATGGTAACTTAAATTAAGTTCCTTAACAAGAACCCAGGAACTCGAAGTTCATGACCCTGTTGAGCCTTCGAGCTCTGAGGCGGTCTCCGAACCCTCCGAAAGAGGGGCCTTTTTTATTTTTTCAGATCAGGGTTGCTCTAAAGGGTTCTTTTAAAAATGGGTCCTAGACATGGTACGATAAGGGGTAGTATGGGGGATTATACAATATAGGGGCCTTAATGGTTAGAATAGTGTTTTGGGGCCCATTATACTATACTTATAATAAGGAATCCACCAGAAAGGTTTTCCGGTTTTCGGGGTGTTCGGAGTCCGTAAGCCTGATGGAGACTCCAGAGTTCCGGGGTGAGGCTCTGGGTCCTAGACTTTCCGCCCAAACCCTCAACCCTAAGCCAAAGCCCTAAACTCTATATGGGAGTTTCCGAAAATAGGGGACCCTAAAATAGTACACCAAATAGTAGGATCCTTATTATAAGAAACCCCAAAGTAAGGTACCCCTAATTTTCGGAAACTCCCACATGAGTGGTTGGCAAAATTATGGACCCTTTTTTGCTCCCTGTGATAATACGGCACTTATTATTTAGGGTACCCAACAAGGGATCTCAATTTTGACAACTACCCATATACTCCAACCCGTGAGGCTGACGGGTCTTCGTGGCATCTTCTGTGCGGCCTGGTCCGAGATGTCCCTGAGCCTTGTGGAGGGGGAAGAGGATGCGAAGGAGCTGAAAGACTTCTGCAGGGACCATGTGCTTCTGGGCTCTTACGAAGGAACTCAGTGGAAGTTGCCTATGGCATACCTTTCATTGTTTTGTTTGACATGTTTCTTTCCTCATAATGGTGACTTAAGCTAAGTGACTTTACAAGAACTCAGGCTTTTCGTGAAGTTCGCGCCACATGGAGTCCTCTTCCCGCGCTGTTGCGCAATCGTTCACCATGGAGGCGCCGGCACCACGAATGCCTCTGCGCGGTCTGGCATACCTACAATCATCCTGCCTCTGTCCTTCGATCAGTTCGATCACGCAGACATGGTTGCTGGGCCATTCTTGAAAAGCATTTTTAGCTGTCGTAAAATATAGTCACAGTCGTAAGAAGAAACATAAGCTACAGGACTGAAGGGCCTCCAGGAGCAACCCAGGTTAACACAAGTGGCATCGGCGTGGGCCTGAAGGCCATGCCTTCCTTGGCACCCGAGGAGATTGCACAGGCCATCTGCAAGTGCAGGGAGACCGCGGCCATTCGCGAGAAAGCTCGTGAGGTGGGCTTGGCTATGGAGAAGGAGCCATCCGAAAGCAACAGCCGATTTAGCACATGGGGCCTAGATGGGATTCATGAGGGTGGTGCTCGGACTGGAGATCAAGCTGAAGGAAGCCCTACACTGTGAAACTCTAAACGCAACCAAAACCCTAATATAGGGGCTTAAATAAGTTCCAATACTATTTTGGGCGTTGCTTATCATACTTATATTATAATATACCGCAGAACCCTATTCCAAATATTAAGAAACGCCTCAACTCCAAACCCTAAACCGTAAAACCCTAAACCTTGAATCCTTATTCAGGCATCCTTTTCTTTTTCGCTTTCACTGAAGGTATACTACTATATATATGGTGTTATATCATATTACATTTAAGTATTGTGTCGTACTGAGGAACCTCCTTCTTTCTCGGGTTTCACTGAAGGTCTACCACTATATCCCAAAACCCTAAACCCTCAGACCTTAAACCCTGAACCCGTATGAAGCCTTGCAGTAGCTTGGGCTTCATGCAGGAGAGAAGGGCCCTTGCAGAAAAGCCCGTATGATGGAATCCTTTGGCACTTTCTTAAAACCCTAATTAAACCCTAAAACCATAAACCCTAAACCCCTAAGACCTTAACCCCCTAAAGCCTAAGACCTTAAACCCTAGACTTTAAAGCCGCATGAAGGGAATCCCTTTCACTGGAGGAGGATGGCCCCAGGGAGTTAGTCGACTTCGTCACCGCTTACATGAAGGATTTCGTGGAAACTGGAAGGCGGCTTGAGGGTTTAGGGCCTTAGGGGGCCCTTAGAGGAAGTATAACTACAAGGGTTCCTATAAGTTATAGGGGATCTATAAGGGTACTACATGGATTTAGAGTTTAAGGCCTCAGGGGTTCTAGGGTTTAGGATTTCGGGTTTAGGGTTTAGGGGCCCTTGAAAAGAAGTGTAAAGGTTCCTACAAGGGATCCAAAAGGGTACTACTGTATGGGTTTAGGGTTGCTCAGACTGCTGGGAAAAGACTCGACCCAAAGTAGCTAGCCATTGGTTTCAAAGTGAAGATTCTCTGAGGCTCAGGCCCTTTTCGGATAGCACGCGCACTCAGAGCAGTCCATAAAAGTCCAGGTGTTGCCATTTGTTTGCCTTGTCCACCAGTTGCTCTAAGCTCACATTTGTTGTTGATTGTTTTGGAGTGTTTGGTAAGGGATTTCAGTTTGCAGGTTTGAATTTTTGAGTTTCGGGTTGTCCATATTGCATAATATATCCCTGGCGTGTGCACCGTTATCTCTACTGAACCGCCATCTGCCAGGTTCCTTCGGGCTTCAGGCGGTTCTTTAGGGTTAAGGGTTCTTTCGGGGTTTGAGGTTTGGGGTCTAGGGATTCGTTGGGGCCCAGGCTTTCTTCATCAGGCTCCTACATTAGCAATTTGGGGTTTGAAGTTAAGTTTAGTTGTAAATATTAAGGCCCCCATACTTCATCCCTATTTTCGCCCTTATAGTAACCCTTCTGGTCCCCTTCTAAGGAACCCTATGAAGGCCCCTATAGTTAGTGGCGCTGACTCTGGAAGGCACGTGAAGCTCCAAGAGGAGATGCGGAGGCGTCGCTCAAGTTGGCTCCTGTGGTGCTTGCCATGCTCCTGAGACAGGTGTGTCAAGCGTAGTATAGTATCTCATACTCCAGTATGTTGTATCACATCATATCGCACTACATTCGATTGTTGTAGTATAGCACAGCATTATAGTATATTGCAGTACATTATGTTACACTTATCGTGTATCATAGGATTTTCCATCCCTTGCAGCTGCACTTCGGTTTTCCGAGCTTCGGCTTGGCTTTCGCTTGCGAAAGGGGCCAAAAGACTTTCGTCGATGATGCCGTTCTTGCTGCAGGGTTAGGGTTTAGGGTTTAGAGTTTAAGAGCATCTAGTGGCGCTACGGTATACCACAATAGACTATAAGATACTAGAATATACAGTAATCTACTGCATTTGTGCTATAATGTAATCTAGTGCCAAATAACAGTGGTATAGGGCTTGCTTCAGGGCTTTTGGGTCTGCAGTTCAGGGTTTCAGGTTGAGGCCAAGAGCCTCCAAGGACCCCCCTCTCCCAAAGCTCTCCATGACTTGGACCGGCTTCAATGCCGCAATATAGGGGCCTAATTTATTACCAATATTATTCCTTGGGTTCCTTATGATAGTTATGGTATAATATGCACCAAAACCCAATTCCAATTATGAAGGCCCCTATTTTAACCTAGAGAGCCCAACCCCCATGAATTAAGGAGTATGGCTCAGCAACTAAAGAGAGCTTGCTGCTAAGATTCGAGCTATTTTCCCTATGTCAGAGTTTTCGGACTCTCTGGGATGTCCAACAACAGGCGACGAAGAGAGACACAGAGAGAGAGAGAGAGAGAGAGAGCCTCAACAGACTCAATGCTTATCCTACACCCTAGACCCGGACCATTATCCCGCAACCCTGGTGGGTTTGGGTTTTGGGTTCGCTGTCGATCCTATACAGGTCCTACATCCCAGACTCCCCGACAGCATGAAACCCCACACCAAGACCCTGAACCCACAAACCCTTACAACGAAATCCTATACAAACATACCGTAATGTGCTTCAAATTCCTGTTCTAATTAACCCCCCCTTCCCCCAACAAAAAATCCTAAACCCTAAACCCCATACTAGAAGCACAACCACAGGGCGGGCCGGGATCCCTCGTCGTAGCGCTCCGCGATGAGTTGAGACCTTAGCCGCCCAGTGCAACCCTCCCACATATTCGGTGTCACGGTGCTTCCAGGCCTCTTCAGGGTTCTTAGGGCTTCAGAGGTTTTGTTCTTTGGGGATGGGTCGATATATGCTTGGTATTTAGGGCTCTTCTGGGTGATTAGGATTTTGACTTTAGGAGTCCATTTGGGCTTACCGGCTTAGAGGCTCACTGGTGCATTCAAATACTCCTCATACAGTCGTACCATAATGGGTCATATCATATGATGCGATAATCTGCCCCGAACTGCTTTATCTCGGTTGAGACCGGCAATTCTCAGAGAGGGGCCTTTTGGCTGTCGTTGTTGGGATCGCGGGTGTGGCTTGCCTATGTTGCCTTGTCTGGCCGCGCCGATTTCTTCGTCTGTTACCTCGCGGCAGCCGGTTTAGGGCATTGGTTGGATAGTGCACTCAGAAACAGTTGTTGTTTTGGTACCGATGGTATTGGAACCTCCTCTACCCCTTGACCCCCTGAATCCCGAACTCGCGCTGTGGATTTTGAGGACCTGCAGGTTTGCGGTCGATTTCCTGTAATTATAGACAATCGGTCAAATTGTCAGGATTAGGTTTAGGGCGTAGGCTTTGGGTTCAGGGCTTGGCTTTGTTGTTGTTGAGTTTATGGTGCTTACTAGGTTTGAGTCGCGACCTGAAGCAGCTTCCTGCCCCTGCCACCTCTAAACAGGGCATCCTCAGCCCAGGCCGTAAACCCTAAACCCCTGAGCCCTAAGCCCGAAACCTAAGCCCCAAGCCCTAAGCCCTAAGCCTCAAAAAAGACCCTAAACCGTGCAAAGATCTGGGCAACCCAACCTGCCTAGGCTTGGATTGGCATCCGACGTAAGCGTGGGCTCCCAGGACGTACTTTCAATTGTAGTAAGGATTTTGTTTGATTTCAGCTCGCATCGTTGAGGATATAGCGTCTAGGGTTTGCGCTTGGGGTAGCAAGAAGTACTCGTGCTAATGTGATTTCTTGACTTTAGTCGTAGTAGCCGTCGTTGTCGTCCTAGTAGTTAAATTCGTCGGGGTCGTCGTAGCAGTAGCAGCAAAATTCGTCACAGTCATGTTCGCGGAAGATCTTTCCAAAGCCAGGTGCATGTGGCGAGCTTTGGAGCCCTCTAAAACGTGCCGTTGTGTTTTGCGGCATGTTTCAAAATCCCTATAAACCCTAAACCATCCCTGGACCCCTTTACCCAAAACCCTACGCAAGAGCCATTCGGACCCCAGGTTCATTTTTGACAATCTAAACCCACCAGCTCTTCGCAGCAGACAGGACCTCAGTGCTGGTTCGCAGATAGAGATCGCGATGTCACTCCTTCCGGAGGCCCGCGAAAGCCAAGGGGGTTGAGGGGACTTGAGAGGATTGTATACGGCTTTTCAGGGGTTCTGTAAGAGTCTTATCGGGCATGTTCTGGATTTTGGACTTGCTCGAGGTATAGCGCGGGCATGATCCTTCAACGTGTGGACTTCCGGCAAAGCTCGTTCAAGCAACTCCGAACCCTTCAAATTGCTGTTGGAAGGTGGTTGACGATAGATGCCTCGAGCTAGTGCTCCAGTTAGGTGTCAGGACGGTGCTGACGACGATAACGATGACGAGGACGGGTGCTTCGTGAGGACGCCAACACGGATAGCGCTGCAGATGCTTAGGCTGATGAGGGTTGGCGGATGCTAATCACTGACGCTCTGTGCCAGGGTGTCGACAAGCTTCCGGTGGTTCTGGACGCATGCTTCGCCTTCCTTCAGCGAGCTCTACAAAGCCTGGAGCTGTGGAGCAATGCGGAGTTGCACTATGTTTCGTGCGGCCTTAATCCCAAAAACGTAAACAGGGTTTCTGGACCCTAAGCCCTAAAACCCTAAAACCCTAAAAGCGTAAAACCCTCAATCCTTAAACCCTAAACCCTAAAACCCTAAAGCCCTCAAACCCTAAAGCCCTAAAGCCCTAAACCCTAACACCCTAAACCCCAGAATCTTTTGAGGCTTAAGGCTCCTTCGACCTCTGGCTGACAGGCTTTCCCAGACCCCCGGGAGGATCCACAAAGTAGATCCCTTTATGGGGGTTCCTTCAAAGTGCCCTTAGTAGTACAGGGCCCAAATTACGGGATCTACTTTCTAGATCCTCCCGGGGGTCTCGGTTGTAGCTTCCTCGCGCAATATTTGAGAAGCCCGGATCCGCAAGTTTTCATGGCTACGGCCTTGGAGCCAACAGCGAAGTTTCAGGGGAGGGCCTTCAACACTGTCTGGCTTACTATAGGGGCCTAAATAACTACCTATACTATTCTTCTTTGGGGTTTCTTATAATAATTCTAGTATAATGGGCCCTCAATGGCTTCTCCTCTCTTTCTCTCTCTTCTTTCCTTCGCTCTTTGCCCTTACCACCCTTAACCTCTAGAGTCCAAAATCTCAAGAGCCTTAACCGCTTACATCCGAAACAAAGCCTAGAGACTTCCTAACAGCCATGATTCCTAAACACCACGGCCCCAAGTATCCAAAACCAGGCTGCTGCCACCGCCCCGTCCCCCGCCAAACCCAAAGCACTTCCAGAGACGTGGACGTGGAAGTCTGAAGCTGGTAAGGTAGAGTTCTCAAAAAAGAAGTTACCCTAATGGTCCAAAGTACCTTTATGGTAGAATGTAGGGTTCCTATATTAGGAGTTACTATTGTGATTTGGGGAAGTATCCCCCATAACAGTACTTTGGATCCTTTGGGTTAAAACCCTGGCGGCATGTTGAACTCCAAGTTCATCCGGAGTCCAACTGGAAGGTTCGGAGGGAACTTCGAGCGACCCCAAAACCCCCACAGTTGGGAAGCTCCCAAGGTCCGAGCCAGGAGAAGGCAGCGCTCCTTGCGTCGCTTGCAGAGCCCACGCCTCGGCCGGTTGAGGGCGTTTTGGCTTTAGGGTTTTAAGGTTGGGCCCTGCCCCCACCCTATCACAGTCGGATAATCGTTTCCTCATAGAACGACCAACAGAAAAAGCACAACTCCATTTCTAATAACTTAGATTGTGGAGAGAACAGCTGCCAAACTGGGGCCGTCCGTTTCGACTTGACGGCCACGTTGGCAGCCACCAGGCAGCCAGCCACAGGCCCACCCAGCCCCGAGCCCAGCAAACCCAGCCAGCCCACTACTTGCGCCTTGGCAAATTCAGTGGAATCGTTTTGACAAACATCTTCCCAGCCCCATCCCCAATCCAGCCATAGCCTGGCCCCTCCCCCAACCGGCCCCACCAGCCAGACACCCACACCCAACAGCCAGCCCATAGCCAGCCCAGCCCCATCCCCAAACCAGCTTCATATTGTATTCGCGCTCAGAAGATTGAAGGTGCACGAGGCTGGGGGGCAGGATTCTTAGAATTTTTCGTTGTTCAGGTGTGCTTGTTTTGTGCTTTGGCTGGTGGTGTCAGCAACGAAAACTCCCGAACAGAAGCACATGCCCCACCCCCCCAACCCAGGCCTCCCTGGCCAGGCACTCTGGAGGGAGTCTTATTTGGAAAGCAAGGAGAGCTCGGCAGGACCTGTCTTCCACCTCACGTGGAAATCACGAGGAAAACCGCGAGAAAAGTCCTGGGAGGCACCTTCTGGCTCGCTTTTTTAACGGGTCGTTTGCTATTCCAAGATTTTAGTGTAAATATAGTTCTCTAGCCAGCACGGAGCTTGGATGTGAAGTGACAGGGTGATGCTGGCTAAGTTGAGCCGATGCTCGAGGAAGCCGCAGGCTGCGTGTTGCGCAGGCGACATGACATGAGACCAAACACCAGAATCCCTGCCGTTGGCGACAAAGAAGCAATCCTGAGCATGCAGTGTTGGTCTCAAGGTGAAGAGTCGGTTCAGCTTTCTGTGGGTTCAGTCGGTTTAGTTGAGTTTAGACTTTGCGGGAGTGTGTTC